TCGGTTATAACAAAATATTAATACCTTAACATATTCATCTTTCATAGCACATATATGTATACACTTGTTCCTTAAGTTTGACTTATTTACACATGCTTAGCAGTCATAATTAACATAACTATATAACATATAGTTCCAGAATCATAATTAGTAAAATTATTTATTATATTATCAAAAATTATTTGCGAAAATAATTGCGAGTAGTATTTATTTCTCGATCTCCACACCGTTCGTCCGCCGCTTTGTCGTCAGTCCATCAAGTATTAGGTACATGTTGCTTACCTATAGTATAAATATTTTATAATGAGCTTTTGCTCAGTAAGTGGGAACTATCTCTCGTAAAACAACTGGATGTTCACATGAATAAATATGCATGAGCCAGTTATGCTTAATTATGATCATGTCTTATTAAACTCTTATTTTCTCATCTTATCTTACTAACTGATGGACCCGAGTGCTCGTACCATCTGCTCGCAATCATCAGGAAGTTAGGGTTTGCAAGGTCCCCAACGACACCGTGATTTACCTTATTATCTTTTTATCTCCCTCATGGAGTCTTAATTACCTCTCTCGCGAAGGCTGGTACAACACTCAACTGATATTATTCTTATAAGTTTCACTGGACTTATTAAGGTGTATAAATTATGGCATGACATTGCATACTATAACACAAAGCATAAACATGCATTTATATTATGTGTAACATTTTTTTAAAATCTATTCATATTGTAGGTGAGATTCCTACTTACTTATTTCACAGAGCTGGAATTCACTAATTGCCTAACAATCTATTCTCTTACTTGCTTATATCTGAAAACGGATACCCATTAAGAGTGTGAGATTAACTGTCATTTACTATTTTAATTTAGCACACTTATAAAGGAATCTAATCCTTTTCTTAAGACATGTTTTACTTTTTATTAAAGGATCATAAAAATTTATTATAAGGATTAGCTTATTAAATCCTCAAAATCTTATTTTTTCTTAATTGCCCTTAACATACACATGCTTAGGTTGATAATCAATTATCTAATATACTTTTGTGAAAAATCGAGATTCAGCTTCTAAGGGTCCCGTTTGGCTGAACCAGTGGCTGCCAGTTTTTTTTTCGAAACTGTGTTGGACAGCTTGTCCGTTTTTGCCAAATGGCTTCAAACTTGGTTTTAGAGTTAAAATTAGGTTTTGTCATAGTAACCGAAAATGTTCAAAACATCCAGGGCTATAAGTTCAAGCTTTAAAACATTAAAAACTCTCGCTCTATGGTCCTCATTTTCGCGGTCAAAGTCACCGGAAAATTTTTCCTCTAATCCGAAAATAAGCAACTTAGATTAAGCATAAACATACCACATCAAACTAAGCTCAAAACTCACAAAACCAACATAAAACTCACACACTCTTATTACAATCTTATCTCTTCAAGAACCACAAATTTACATCCATAAATCCAAGCTTAAAGTTGGCTAGAAATTAATGGAGGGGAGTTTAAGAACTTACCCTTGAAGAATTCTCTCTTTCTCTTGAAAAACCCTTGAACTCCTCTAGGATTGTTAATGGCTTGAAACTATAAGAGTATAAGGAAATTTGAGAAGAATATTTCTCTATTTCAAACTTTCCCAAAACATGAAAAAGAGAGGATTTAGAGTTTCTTTACCCTTAGAGGAATGCTTGACTAGTCTCCTCCTAGAATCCCTTAATCTCCTTCTTCTTCTTCTATGGTGTGCTAGGGGCTCAAGTTTTGGAGAGTGGGAGAAAATATTTGAGAGGAAATGGAGAGTGTGTGGCCGGATTTTTTGAGTGGGGAAAAAGCTAGGAGAAAAAAAATGAAGCTTATCCTATGTTGGTTCCTTTTATAGGCACTTGGAAATTATTTTTTTTAACACCAATTCCACTCCATCATTCAACCAAATTTTTGGTTCAAATCCCCCTTTCTTGGCCGGTTTTGGAAGGAGAAAAGAAGAAGCAACTTTGCCATTAATTCCCCTTCAACCACTAACATCACATCACCTTAACATAAAGTCCTCTAGCACACTCCACTAGCCAAAGGTTTGGCTCTATTTTTTCATGCATGGCCGGCCAAGTGGAGGAAGGGAGAGAAAAAAATCTCACCTACCCCATTGTACTCTTGTCCACTTTCTTAAGTTTCCCTTAGAAACTGATAAAAATTATACTGACTATAAGAGAGTAACTTAACTAACAGGAATTCGTTCCCATTTCTGACGGTTCCTTTTTCTACTGCTTATTTACAGTTAAATGTTAAATCCTTGACTGCTTTGGATATCACATTAAATTCTTATTCGCGTAATATCTTGAACTGTTTACAGTCTTGAAATTAATTCTAGACTGAACAAATTCTAAATTTAACTATCCTGCGTTAATTTTCAGAAATGACGTTGTTTCTGACGGTGTCAACTCCCGAGTTCACATTATACCCTTCTACTATGGGTATTTATCTTCTGACTTTAACCTAGCTGTCTGGCAATTAAGGATTTTCTCTTTTTTTAAAAATGTCAGTGCGTTTTTTTTTTTTACGCTGCTAACATCATGCTGTGTTTGGAGATTCTTGAAATTAAGATTCTCAAACTATACTTGTACTGAAAATTATTCCGCCTTAAAGTACGGCAAGAATTTATCGATCGAATTTACTTGATCGAAAACATGAACTTAACATGAAATCTGCTACAGAATTTAGGAATACATCTATTGATTCCATAAATCCTTCAGTCACATAATATTTTCTAGGAAAATCCTTGGCTTAAATAAATAAATTGTATTATTTAAAGTCTGGAATTTTCTCAGTCATTACAGTTACCAACGGTGTCAATTCTTGAGCTTAGATAGCATTTTTCGGTACTCGCGTGACTTCAATTTAACTGTTCGGCAATTAAGGATTTCTCAAATGTTAGAGCGTTTCTCGACATGCTACTAATATCGTACTATGCTCAAAAATTCTTATGATTAAAATTCTCAAGCTATTCATGGATTGAATTTCCTTCAGCCTACTACGGTGAGAATTATCAACCGAATTTACTTGATCATAAAAAATGAACTTAACATAAAATTTACTACAAAATTTTAAAATACTGATATTAATTCTATAAATTCTTCAGTTACAAAATATAACATGATATTTTTTTCAAAAAAAATCTTTAACTTGAATACGTAAATTATATTATTTAATTTTAAGATTTTTTTCAGTCATGTCAGTTATTTTGTCAACGATACAATTATTTTGTTTTCCTTTTCCAGATAAAACAATACTTTTGTTTTTGTCAAGAGAACAGTGACACAGAGTACATTATCACGCCCTAGGAAGGAAAAGCTATGAAACGCTTGCGAGCTAGGAATAGTGCCATCCGTTGAAAAAGTCTAAGACGAAGACATTAGGAAAATCACGTCTCCAACCAAATTTATCAACGTGATCAATGAAAATATGTGAACAATTTTCCTTAAGACTTTTTCAGAGTTATTTGGCAAGCTTTTGTATGGTTAGATAAATTAATCCTTGCATTGGAAAACAACGACGACAAAAAAGTGACCAATCTACATTGGTGAAATCTGACGACTAAACTCCCCCTAGATGCTTCACTAGCTCTAACACAAAACAGTGAAAATTGTTGTAGTCATAGTTTAAAGAAAAATGTTGCATAACTCTATAGGAATATATCTCCACACTCTCTGCGAGAGAGTGGACCCCAGTTACGGATATGTCAGCAGAAACATGATTTTGGTGACTCAACGGTGATGAAGAATCAACTGCCTCTATAAAAGCTCTTTCAGTGTAAAATCCGGGTAGTTTAGGTTGGGGAAGGAAAACATTTTCACTATTCAACATTGAGAGAACGGATGACATTACGGGCCTCTCTTCTGGGAGCTTTAGAACGCACAATAGTCCTACTTGGATACATCTCAACACTTCAGATGTAGGAACATTCTCCATCAAAACATCTATGAGCTCCAGGGGCCTACCGTCAATCCATAGTTTCCATGCCTAAGACAAATCAAGAAATTAGAAAAACTTGGTAAAGAACAAAGGAAAATTAACTATAAAAAGTCTCAACTCACATGTCCTAAAAGATTGAGGTTATGATCAGGATGTTCTAATCGTCTGTTCTTCTTTTCCACTCACTATCTCCAAAACCAAGACACTAAAGCTGAAGACATCAGATTTCACCGAAAAGTGCCCATCTACTATGTACTCAGGAGACATATATCCACTACATCAAACCGAAAAAGAGAAATAAATCCCACAACTTTCAAAAACGATATAAGGTGGTAAGATATGGATATTATCCTCAAGTAGAAAAGAAAACAAATGGAGAGATTTTGGACTTACTATGTACCAACTACTCTCTTAGTATTCATGCCAGTTTGGTCACCCCCAAGTATTCTTGCCAAGCCAAAGTCTGAAATTTTGGGGTTGATCTCACTATCTAAAAGAATACTACTAGCTTTAAGATATCTATGAATTATTCTCAGTCTCGAATCTCAGTAATCCCCACAATGATATCAAAGCTCTTCTTCCAATCAAGTGCTGCTTCCCTTGTTTGATTTGCTGTCATTTCAAATGCATGAAGTTAAATTTCAACCGGGGGTGTAAAGAACATGAAAAAAAATGATTTTTAAGGGTGACTACTGAATATGTATAAGTCCAAGCTCTTTTTAGGCATGAATTCATAGATCAACATCCTCTCTTCTCTATGAATGCAACATCCCAACAAGCTAACAAGATTCCGGTGTTGAAGTTTTGAAATCAAGACAACCTCATTCTTAAACTCCGTATGGCCTTGTTCAGAAGCTTTCGAAAGCCTCTTCACTGCTATTTCTTGTCCAGATGAGAACACACCCCATAAAAAAAAAAAGAATCACATTATTAGTTAAAAGGAATACAAGACAAACACATAGGAAGAATTAAGATTGTTCATTTAGCCATGAAGATACTTCAATGTATAAAACCATAAGGTACCTTGTAAACAGGACCAAAACCGCCTTCACCAATTTTATTTGTGAAGGAGAAGTTGTTAGTAGCATTGGCAATAGTATCTAAGCTAAATGAAGGTAGCTCTACATTTTCCTCTAGAAGAATAGGACCCTGATCTTCATTTGAATTGATTATTGTTTCCTCTGCAAAACCAGGGAAATTAAATTGAAAAGTGTAATGGCACGCAAGAACATTGTACTGCATGATCTGTTCATGTGATCAATACAATTCTACTCGATACATATTTGTTAGTTTGGACGTGTCAAAGGCATAGATATGTATACTAGTTATCAACCAAATATATTGCATTCTATGGAAAAGCAAAGGGAAAAAAAAAAAGAGTATGATTGCATTCTGTAAAAAGCCCCAAAATAAAAAAGTTAGATGCAGTACATGTTTATGATGTGTTCTTAAATATTAAACCACAACTAAGCACGCAGTATAGAGTCAAGGTGTTATGAGGGTCAATCGATGTGTTCTTAAATATTAAACCACTACTAAGCACGCAGTATGGAGTCAAGGTGTTATGAGGGTCAAGCGACGACGAGAATCCTTCTAGCACATATAGAAGTCAATTTTTTTACTTGCTTAAAAAAAAATATTCATTTTTTATGAAATTATAGAGCACGATAAAGAAGGAAGAAGAAACAAAATCATAAGATTTCCTGCTGTTTTTGTTTATATCTTGATGAAGTTTTCAGCTGATTACTTTTTTGGAAGTTCTGATATTAACACCAATTGTAGACAATTGTATATGTAGTATGTTGTATAGTTTGCTTATTACCTTTGCTTATTAAGGAGCAGGCTGTCCTCTTACAGATGAGATATCCACCTACTACACAAAATAGAAGAAACCCCAAAATTGCTGATACAATCACCGCAGTCTTTTTGCCACTATCAGAATCTGTGACTATAAGCAATCATAACATGGTAAAACAAATGTATTAAGGGCATGCTTACCGACCCCATAATGGACTAATTAATGTTCATGAGAAACGTATTTGAAAAAAAAAAGTGAAATGAAAAGCAATCTAATTCCTTAATAAGAATATTATATCAATGTAATTATTTAAATGCTCTTTTCATAATTAATAGTCATTGGCTTCTAACCTATGAACTTATTAAAGGTGCAAAATTAAATTTGCCTTCATTATCTTTAACCGGAAATCATTACCAGGAGGCTCAAGGGTTGGTATTTCCTTTTCCATTTTCTATAATGTGTGGGACCGGTATCAAACTATGATTCTTAATTTAATAAGTCAACAAATAGTTAAATGGGAAAGAAAAACACAACTTGACCTTTTCTCTTTCATGCGTCTCTTTCATATGTTGTAAGCATAGCTAAAAGGTAATCAAAAGATAAGCATAAAGTAAAAGGCAATTGGTTTCGAATGAATTTAAAAAAAAAGTACAGAATATGCACGGTCCACAAAAAGTGTACTATAATAAAAGATAATGTATATATAATAATATTATATAAAAAATTGCTGTACTTTTTCCAAAAATTATATGGGTATGAATTTTTAATCCTTGTTCTTGATTAATATTTTTTATAAGTATAATTATTTAATTAAAAGGGATATTAATTAAGAATATAAAATAAAAATTAAGACCCTTATATTTTTAAGGGTTTTTATCAAGATTTTTCTAAAAATTAAAACCCATATATTTTTAAGGGTTTTTGTCAAGTTCCAAAAAGGCAAGTCAATATTTTATTTTATACTTTCAAATTCCTCAACTTTTTTCGCTAATGTTTCATTATCGCAAATAGTACTAGCTCCAAGGAAAACCCGAATACTTTTTTATTTGGGACTTTGTCAAATTTGCACGCTTAGGACTAGGCAACCTTTTTTCAAGTTTAGAATAATTGATACTTACATTAAGGAAAAAATAATAATAAAAAAAAAAAAGAAAGCTTTCCCACAAACAATGCATAAGGACGAAATTATCCTTAGATGCTTGACTCGATCGTATAAAACAGGGGGGAAAAAAAGAGTTATCTACATAAATGAGGCCACTAATAGCACACTGAATCTAAAAGTGCCCACTATTCCATTTATTTACAAAATTATCTTCTATCATACATACAATGACAATAATATCCACACATAATGAAAAAAAAAGGTATAAAAATATTGAAACATCAAAATAGGAAAATCTTAAAGAAAATCCTAATATAAAGTATCTCATTTTGTATGAAGTCAGACAAAATCTAACCAAATTTCATTTAATGAATCCTGCCTTATTTAGAAAAACGAAAGCTTTCAAAAAAAATAATAATAAAAGAAAAAAAACAATAAACACGTTTTTTATCGTTTTGAAACACCCAAAAATATAGGACACCTTTTTATTGCATTTCATGCCCAAAAAACCTAAAAATTATGAAAATGAAAATCAAAGTCAATATACATAAAGAAACACAAGAATGGAAAAGATATTTCACTATTGTAATGATCATATCATTATGAATGAGAATGAATATAACATTATGAAAATCCTCATTACGTAAATGACTAACATAAGTTACATTTATAATGAAAAACGTAAAAATTTATACAAATGAAACACAATAATGGAAAAAATATCTCATCATTGTAATGAGTATATATTTATGAATAAAAAAGAATATAACAAAATGAAAATCGTCGTTATGAAAATGACTTTCATAAGTAAAATAATGAAAAAGTAATGACATACACAATTCGAAATTCATTATCATTAAGTTAATGACTCTTTTATAAAGAAACAATACTTGTACTACAACATAAATACAAAAAAGTAATAAAACATTTCCATTATTATAACGGAACTACCATCATAAACAAACAAACACAAAATAATGATCATATCATTATAGATAATAATGAATATAACAGTATATACTTATTCATTTGAAAAATAACTAACATAAGTTAAATAATAAAAACATAAAACTGTACATAAATGAAACACAATAATGGAAAATATATTTTGTCATTGTAATGATCATATCTTTATGAACAAGAACGAAGATAACAAAATAAAAATCGTCATACGTAATGATGTACACAAATGGAATCCTGAACAGGAAATCAATGTGATACAATCAGCCCAACTAGGCCCATGAAAGAGCTGGCACCTGAGGAGGCAAATGGAGCTACTGACCCAGGACCACCTAGAGGAATACCCAAAAGGATGAGCGTGAAACCTGGGCGGTATAGGGATTAGAGTTTGTTATGCGAAGCTGGCGTTGTTTCCATTTTCCTTGTAACCGTTAGCAAATCTGTAACAAACTCCTTGAATTGAATATAATAGCTGATGCTCACGATGGAAAAGCATTCAGCAAGATTTTACCTAAAAATTATCTCTCTTCTCATCTCTCGCACTTATCCTTCCCTCATCTCTTTTCTCTGTTTAGTGACTCTGTGCAGGGACCCATCATTTGGTGCTTTCATTGCTTCCATGGCTTCCACAACCCGCACTAAATCGTTGGAAGATCGCGTGGAAAAGCAGGAACAACAGCTGGATCAAATCCACTCCGATTTGGATTTGAAGTTCTCGGCGTTGTCCTCCAGTCTCGAATCTCTCTGCAGTCAATTTCAGACCTGGTCTTCGTCCTTTACAACCATGCAATCAGAGTGGGAACAATCTCGTCGACAATCGACGGTGGTTTCGTTTCCTGCTCGTGACCGTGCGGAACCCTCCGAGGGCGCTCCAGGTAACTTTGGCATCAATTTGAAACCCATTCGTATCGATGTGCCCAGATTTGATGGCTCTGATGTCTATGGATGGACTTTTAAAATTCAGCAATACTATGATTATCATAATGCTTCTGAGGAACAACGTTTGCCTATTGTACCCTTTTACTTTGATGGCAAGGCTTTATCCTGGTACCAATGGATGTATAAGAAAAATCAGATAACAGGATGGTCAGTGCTATTGCAAGCATTGGAGGTCCGATTTGGTCCTTCTGAATTAGAGGACTATCAAGGCCAACTTGCTAAACTATACCAAACTGGGTCGGTGCTTGAATATCAAGAAGCTTTTGAAGACTTCTCCAATCGCGTCCAGAACGTTCCGGACTCCTTCTTATTGAGTTGTTTCATTTCTGGTCTTCGCACAGACATTCAGCACGAGGTGGCGGCCTTTCAACCTACCACCCTTTCCAAGGCTTATTCTCTTGCTAAGCTTCAGGAATCCAAGTTGCTGCTTAAACAGCGCCCGGCGAAACTATACTCCCCCTTACCCCCCTACTACCTACACCAACCAAACCACCAGTCTTCCCTACATCCACGCTGTCCTCACCTAAACCAACCTCCGCCCTGCCCTCTCCCAAACTTCCCACATTCAACCCTCAACCCAAGAAGACAGTCCTCCGCCTTACCCACAGCCAAATGCAAGAGCGTCGCACGTCGCAACAAATGTCTCTGCTATTATTGTGATGAACAATATACCTTCGGCCACAATTGTCGTCGATCGGTTCATATTCTAGTAACACCGGATGATACGGAGAATTTTTCTAACGGAGACGAGGAACCTCCACCTGCTGAACCACCTATTGACATGCCTGATACAGGGTCTGAGACACCTCACATTAGCCTCCATGCTATGTCCGGAATCATGACCCCCAAGACTTTGCGCTTCTCTGGCCTTATTGGGAACCAACCTCTCCAGATTTTGGTGGATGGTGGTAGCACCCACAATTTCATCCAATCCCGGGTGGTGTCTCACTTAAACCTTCCGATTTCAACTGCTAAGCGCTTTGATGTAATGGTGGGAAATGGCGAGATGCTTCGGTGTGAAGGTTTTTGCTCTGCCGTACCAGTTAAAATTCAGCAACATGTTTTTCTAGTTGACTTTTACGTTTTACCCGTGCAAGGTGCTGAGTTGGTGCTCGGGGTCCAATGGCTATAGTTACTGGGACCCATTCTGTTGGACTACCAAGCTCTTACCATGTCTTTTACTTGGAACGGTGAGAAGGTATTTTTACTGTAATGACTGAGAAAATTCCAGACCTTAAATAATACAATTCATGTATTTTTAAGCCAAGGATTTTCTTAGAAAATATTATGTTATATTGTGAATGGAGGATTTATGGAATTAATATATGTATTCCTAAATTCTATAGCAAATTTCATGTTAAGTTCATGTTTCGATCAAGTAAATTCGATCGATAAATTCTCGCCGTATTTTAAGGCGGAATAATTTTCAGTACAAGTATAGTTTGAGAATCTTAATTTCAAGAATCTCTAAGCACGGCACGATGTTAGCGGCGTATAAAAAAAAACGCACTGGCATTTTAAAAGAAGAAAAAAATCCTTAATTGCTAGACAGTTAGGTTAAAGTCGCAAGATAAATACCTATAGTAGATGGGTACAATATGAGCTCGGGAGTTGACACTGTCAGAAACGTCATTCTCGGGATAGAATACAGAAAATTAAAATTTAGAATTTGTTCAGTCTAAAATTAATTTTAAGACTTGAAACAGTTTGAAATATTACGCGAGTAAGAATATAAAACAATATTGAATTATTCAGAAATTAATATTGGACTGTAAGTAGTAGATTAACTTACGTGAGCTAAACTAATTACCTCTAATCAGTATAAATTTAATCTGTAAGTAGTAAATAATTGAGGAAATAAAGATCAGGCACGTAATCTTGCCTTAACCAGATACTTTATATAGTGAAATTTTTAGGGTTCTTACACTTTCTTTCTCTTATTCTCGCTCATTCTCTCTCTCCTCTCACATTCTCTCTCACACAAACCATCAATGGCCAAATACTCAAGTTAAGATTCCGACCTCCATTTTTGACACCGCCGGTGTCAATAGAAAGATCTCGACGAGCTGAGTTCAACGACATGCGGCACGACCTCCAACCCCGCCGGAATCAGCCGCAATCGCCGGCGGAAGTTCC